TGGCAATTTTGTGTGTGTGTGTGTGTGTGTGTGTGTGTGTGTGTGTGTGTTTAGTAGAGACGGTTTCACCATGTTGGTCAGGCTGGTCTCAAACTCCTGACGTCAGGCGATCCACCTTCCTCGGCCTCTCAAACTGCTGGAATTACAGGTGTGAGCCACTGTGCCCGGCCACATGTCCTTTTAACAAAAGGAGATGATCCAGGTTCTTGTCATACATTATTGCATGATGAAGTCTTTTCTGTTGATTAACAGGGCGAAAATGCTAAATTTCCTTTTTGTTCTTAAAAAACCACATTGCCATGTATGTACCTTTGCAACAATCCTGCAAGATCTGTACATGTACCCCAGAACCTAAAGTACAATTAAAAAAAATACATGCTGTTCACGCATTGATTCTTAAGTTTGAGGACACTTACTTAGGATGAGGTCAGTTAGGATGGTGTCATCTGAGGCCTGATAGCCTGAGCTTTCACTTTAAGGATACATTTTACTGTCATTATTAATGTCTAGAGTGCCATTCTGTCTCTTTTCATTTCATTTTCTGGTTCATCTAATAATTTGAAATGTCTTTTTCTGTTCATTTTATTTTCTTTGCCTTTATGGGTGGAAAACGAAACACTTGACTTGTCAAGTGTGTTCAATGAAGACAAAAAGCACCCTACAAAGATGGTGTCTCCTGCCTTCTTTTACAACTTCTTGAGAGATGGTGTCATTCTTTGGGTAATAAGAAAATGAAAGGAACAGTTTGGCGATTCCTCAATAAAACTAAAAGTTGAGTTACCAGATGATCCAGCAATCCCACTGCTGGGTATAAAATCCAAAAGATAGGAACTCAGTATATCAAAGAGGTGTCTGCACTCCTGTGTTAGTTCCCGCACCATTTACAATAGCTAAGATTTGGACACTAAGTTTACGACAGCTAAGATTTGGAAGCAACCTGTGTCCATCAACAGATGAATGCAAAGAAAATGTGGTATGCGTGGGCGATGGAGTACTGTGCAGCCATTCAAAGAGTGAGACCCAGTCATTTGCAACAACGTGGATCAACAACCTGGAGCCTGGGTGCATTGGCTCACGCCTGTAATCCCAGCACTTTGGGAGGCTGAGGTGGATGGATCATGAGGTCAGGAGTTTGAGACTAGCCTGACCAACATGGTGAAATCTTGTATCTACTAAAAATACAAAAGTTAGCCAGGCGTGGTGGTGCACGCCTGAATCCCAGCTACTCAGGAGGCTGAGGCAGGAGAATTGCTTGAACCCGGGAGATGGAGCCTGCAGTCAGTTGAGATCGCTCCACTGCACTCCAGCTTAAGAGACAGAACAAGACTCCATCTCAAAAAAAAAAAAAAAATGACCTGGAGATCATTATATTAACTGAAATAAGCCAGGCACAGAAAGACAAACATCGAATGTTCTCACTTATTTGTGGGACCTAAAAATCAAATCAACTGAACTCACAGACATAGAGGGTAGAAGGACGTTACCAGAGGCTGGGAAGGGCAGTTGGGAGGGACGTGGGGATGGTTCCTGGGTACAAAAAAGCTTGAAAGAACAAACAAGACCTATTATTTGATAGCACAATAGGGTGACTATAGTCAATAATAACTTAATTGTATATTTTAAAATACAGAATGCAATTGGATTATTTGTAACTCAAAGGATAAATGCTCGTGTGGATGGATGACCCATCCTTCATGCTGTGCCTATTTCACATTGCATGCCTGTATCAAAACATCTCGTGTGCCTCATAAATACATACACTTAGTAGGTACTCACAAAAAATTAAAAAAACAATTGAAAATTGTTTTTAAAAAGGAAGGCTGCTGAGCTGCCTCACTATTGCGTCATCCTTCTGGGCAATGCCATCGTTCTTCCACTTCAAAATTATTTTCATCATTTTTGGCAGGGCTGGGAACACTTGTTACTTAACAGTTGGGTCACTTATCAGTTGTTCCCAACCCTGCCAAAAATGATGAAAATAATTTTTGTTTTTTAAGATGGAGTTTCACTCGGTAGCCCAGGCTGGAGTGCAGTGGTGCGATCTTGCTCACTGCAACCTCTGCCTCCCGGGTCCCAGTTCAAGCAATTCTCCTGCCTCAGCCTCCCAAGTAGCTAGGATTACAGGTACTCGCCACCATGCCCAGCTAATTTTTGTATTTTTAGTAGAGACAGGGTTTCACCATGTTGGCCAGGCTGGTCTTGAACTTCTGACCTCGTAATCTGCCTGCCTCAGCCTCCCAAAGTGTTGGGATTATGGGTGTGAACCACCATGCACAGCTGAAAATAGTTTTGAAATGGGAGAATGATGGAATTATCAGGATAATAGTAATTAAATAACAATAATTCCCAGGATAATGAAATAGTAAAGTGTCTTAAGATATAAGAAAAATAAGATCACCTGGATTCTGTCATGGGTCTTATTCACATTGCCCTTGATAAAAACGATCCCAGGGACCCATATGGTAATTGTAAAATAAAATACGTTTTATTCGGTAAAAAATATGTAAATTCTCTCTTTGTTCTTTGAAAGACCTCTAAGAAGAAAAGGCATAATACATCAATCTTTGCAAAGCCTTAGAATTTACAAAAAGAAACACAACAGAGAGTTGGGAACTATGGGTGAGGATAGACAGGCACTGACGACATGGGAGGCAGGATTGGCAAACAAGCACAACAGCGAGAGGCAATACAGGAGAGGCAGTCAGTGAGAAAATCACCATGGCTGACGCTTTGCTGGGGAGAGAGGGATCAGGTTGGAGGATTGTGATGGCCGCCCATCAGTTTGAGTCACATGGACTCTATTCTGTAGGCAAGAAGCGGTGAGTCTGGAGGGTTTTGAGCAGGGTGGCATGAGACATGCAAACATCTTCTTGGCTGTATTTTTTTTCTTTTTCTAGCATTGTGGAGCTTTATTCCCAAGGAAAAAATATAGCTTTTGGGCTGGATGTGGTGGCTCATGCCTGTAATCCCAGAACTTTGCAAGGCCAAGGTGGGCGGATCATGAGGTCAGGAGATCAAGACCATCCTGGCCAACATGGTGAAACCCCATCTCTACTAAAAATACAAAAATTACAGGGAGGGGAACATCACACACCAGGGTCTGTCGGGAGGAAGGGGTGAGGGGGAGGGATAGCACTGGGAGAAATACCTAATGTAGATGACGGAGTGATGGATGCAGCCAACCACCATGGCACGTGTATACCTATGTAACAAACCTGCATATTCTGCACATATACCCCAGGACTTAAAGGATAATAATAAAAAAAAATCCAAAAATTAGCTGGGTGTGGTGGCAGGTACCTGTAATCCCAGCTATCGGGAGGCTGAGGCAGGAGAATGGCTTGAACCAGGGAGTCAGAGGTTGCAGTGAGCCGAGATCATGCCACTGCACTCCAGCCTGGTGACAGAGCAAGGCTTTGTCTCGAAACAAAAAAATATCACTTTTAACATGTAATAAAAACCATACATAAGAATCTTAACATTCAGTTCCGATCATTGTGCATTTATTTGCAAGGACTTCAGTAGGGACTACATTCATTAACACAAATTAAAACCCACATGCTGTTTTCAAAGCCTATTAAAACTATACACCTATGAACAAGTAAGCTATTTAGTTAAGCTCTGTTTCATTGGAAGTTTGCATTGATTCCCCAGGTCTTGAATGCTTTAGGTGCCACACTGGCTGGCCATTAAGGGTCGTGATGAAAAATCCCAGGAAGCTGAAGAGTGAACATGATCATAATCTCTAAAATGGTAAGTAGAGTGGATACAGTGGACATGCACATATTGTTTCAAATTCTGGAGGAATTTCATAGGAAAGAAGCTTATGGAATCATTATCCCAAGAGGTGGTAGTGCCTGCAAAAGTAATTTCAAAGATTAAGATACTTGCGGAGATGACAGTTATAATTGGCTATTAAAGAGAATGAAGTGCTTTGGGTGGTGCACCCCAGAGGCCGCTGGCAGGGCGGTACGTTTCCAGCTTCCTAGGCAGAGAGTCATACCTGGCATGGCCTTTCTCGCATCCTTGGGAGGCAGTTTGCTCCAAGAGATGCATCTTGTTTTCAGGACACATTCCCATTGACTTTTTTTTTAAACACAAAACAAGCCTTTATTGTTGACTGGGCTCAGGAAGTGGTTCTCACTGGGGGTCTCTTGTGAGGTTGCAATAAGACATTGATGGGCGCTCCAGGCATCTCAAAGGCTGTCTGTTAATGCTGTTTGCTAGGACTTCCACTGGGGCTGAGGAGTGGAACACATGTACTCAGCCTCTCCAAGGTCGCCTGGGTTCCTTCACAACATGGCAGTGAGGACTGAAGAGCAAGTGCCCCGCGAGAGCCAGGCTAAAGTACCTTTCATAGTCTAGCCTTGGAACATACACAGTGTCACTTGGCTGTGTTCTGTTCTCTTCCTTAGAAATGTGTCCCTAAGTCTAGCTCATAGTCAAGGCTAGGGGATTAGACTTCACCTCTTGAGGGGAGACCCATTGACTTGGGAAAGAAAAAAACTTGGTTGTCATTTTATTATTATCACATATTGATAATCATTATACCTAACATTCCCTCTGTTCCATCCATTCAATGAGTCAAGCATTCATTCATTTAGCAAATACTTATAGTTAGGCATTTTGGCCACACTTACATCTGAATAGGGCTTCACGGTTTTCAGACGAACTTCATATCCAGTATTTGACTTGGTATTCTTAACAACCATGTGTGAGGGCTAGGTGTGTTTAATTACTTCCATTTTTCAGATAAAGCAATAAGAGGCTGGGAGATGTATCCAAAGTCTCTGTGCCTGGTCCAGAGGTCATTCAAACCCAGCTTTGTCCTGGAAGCACGTTCTTTCCACTCACCACCCAGAACACCATCTTCCTCTCTCTCTCAAAATATCCAAGATGGGAGAGGAGGATAGACAGCCAGATAGACTTGCTCTGAGGTACCATGACTTTTGCATGGCGTGGCCACAGTTGGGGCCTTTTAGGGTGAAAGGCAGCACTATTAATAATTACCCTGGGGTGGCAGGCATGAACCAGGATACTGTACAGAGGGTCACTTCACCCACAGATGGTCAAATAACTGGAACCCAAGTATCTTGTGCTTTTCTGTAAAATCATGCCTTATTTTTTAAACTTCCTACCTCTTTGAGCAAAACCAACAAATGCTATCAGAGCCACAAGGATTTGAGTGACCCACAGCTCCCCAGGAGAAGGCACGAGGGCATCTACGTGCACACAAGCAACTGCTCGGCTGGCTCCTGGAACCCGGCCCATTCCACATGAACTGAAGGTATCTGGGGTATGGGTTTGGGGTTGCTGGGCAGAGGCTGGCAAGGATATGGTCCAGCCATCCCAGGTGTCTCATTTCCCTCTCCTGCTGTATCACTGGTTGGGAGGCAGGAAGACCACATTCTGGAGAGAGTGGGACTGCAGAGCCCTGGAGTGAATATTGGGCATCACTGTAGCCCTTCCTGGGCAGAAATGGCCAGGCCCTTGTACCCCACCTGCCTCAGTCACTCGGTGCTGGGTGTCCAGGAAGCATGCACTGGAGAGCCGCTCAGACTGCTGGGATTCACTCAGGGTGGCTGCAAAATATTAGGGAAATACTAGGGAAAGTTAGAAGATTATAGTCTCAAGCCTTTTGGGAGGCAGAAAAGTTTTAATGGAACAGGCTGAAGGTAGCCAGTTAATTAGGTTAGAATTTTAAGTCATAGGGTAAAAGATTAGGGACAATAAAGCTTTCTAGTTCAGTCTGCTTACCCCACATCCCTTTGTCTCTACTCTGTTTACTCATGTAAACTTTGTGCTGGATGGTCCTCTCAGGGGAAGGTTGAAGGGGAATTACCTGTGAATGGTGTTAACTCTGGGCCCTGGGATCAAGACCTTTTATCATTCATAAAACCGTTCTTTTAACCATGTTAATTATCTGCAAGCATGTTGACTTAGAGCCTCTGTTATTAAATCTATACTGAATACATGTGAGGAGGTATACGGAGGCATGGTTGGTTAGCTGCAATCGCCCTCTGAAAGCAGTTGATGACCATCCCTAGCCCTCTTGAAATCATCGTACTGGGTGTGAGAGTGCATTCATCCATCCGTCATTGACTCAGGGTCTGCAGGACAGACCTCCACAGGTGGTGATCAACGTCTCAGGTGGTGACCCCTACATGATTGAGGTCTCAAGTGGTGACTCCGAGGTGATTCAGGTCTCAAGAGACCTCTCTAGTTGAGGCAGATCCAGAAGGAACTGCGAGCTGACAGCTCTGTGCTGACCCTGCTTCCCACAGCCAGGCCCCAAGGCTTTCCTTCAAGGGGACCTGGGGCACATCTCATACCCCTACAGGTTGTTATAGAAAAAACAAGAAAATGGAAAGAACCTGTCTATTTAAAATTAGATATGGTTTCAGGGTTGAAGGGACCCATATCTGGTGTAGGTTCTTCCCACTCATTAGTTCATGTGACCCTGGACATGTCCATTTTCCTTCCTGGAACTCACTGTTCTCATCTGTAAAAGTGAGAGAGCCAAGTTACATTAGGAGCTTGCCCGGCTCCACTGCTCTGCAGTCATGAAGTTATTTAGTACCTGGGCTGGGCAGAGTTCTCTGCCCGTTCGAGTGGGTTGGAGCAAGCCTTTCCGCTCTTGGTTGCGGATATTTGTTACAGGCTATTCAAAGTAAACTAGAATACCCGCCAGAGAATAACGTTTTAAATGGAGATGCAGAAAAATTTATTGTGACTGGTAAGTGGCTAAAGAACAGAAAATCCCTAGGGAGTGATCAGAAGCCACTTGTCACACTCGGAAAAGATTTAACCATTCCATTAATGGGAAAGAGCACGTAGAGTTGTGGCTAATAACAGTATGGTGCCGAAGTTAGCATCTATGCGGAGCACATTGTGTTATTCCTGTTCTTTGGATTTTATTTCCTTCCTGAAAACCCTTCACCAGCCTCTTCTGTGTCTTGCAAGCATCTTCAAATGGCACACTGGATGTGAAAGGTTTTTAGAAACTAATGGATTATCTGTAGCTTTCCGTTCCTCTTATCTCCTGTTCCAAGGTAATTAAAAGATGGCTGTGCCATTGAGTAATTTCAAGCATTCTGTCCAGTTGTCTAATCTGCAGTATTTATCCTCTCTGCACTGCCGAATATCTTCTTCTCTCCTAGTCGAAGAAATCTAGGAGGCTTCACTTTTTTGGTAGATTGCTGACACCGGGGATGGCAGGTCGTCCTGGACCCATGAGTCCCAGGCAGTCAGGTGTCAGCAAGGTGGAATGGGAGCTTCAGTGACAGGTTGGCATCTTAGAACATTCCACCGCTGACTCCTTGCAGAATGGGTGGGGCATAGAGGGAGACCCAAGGACTTGGGGAGTCAGGAGTCTCTGCAGCTCACAGACGCAGTGTTCTGTCTTCTTGTCATCTGCTGGAGAGAGATTCAGGGAGCCATCATTTCTGCCAGGTGGGGAAGCCCAGACGCAGCCCCTTTGGGCACCACGGCCAATTCTGTGCTGATAGTCTTCAGTGGTGAGGGGGGGACAGGGAGCCAAAGTTCAGGGGGCTTGTCCGGTTGGCAATGGTCATTTGGGGGCTATAGTTGAGGCAGCCCCTGAAGGAGCAGAGTTTTCTAGAGGTGACTTCCAAGGTGGGTTTTGAGGAAAATGAGGGGTTTTGAGGAATGGAGGGGAGTGGGGTTCCATAAGGAAACACCAGCGCAGGACTCAGCCAGGACTCACATATGCTGGGAGCCAGAGCTCGGCTGCCACCACGGCCCGAACGAGGTTGGAAGGCAGATGCCGCGGAATGACCACTGGTGATCAGACGTGCTTCCTCTCCATTTTCTGCTGGGAATCCGATGAGTGGGACTGGGAATCACTACAGGTTCTTGAGCTAGTGGGGAAATGCCAAAGTGCTGTATATTTCTTGCTTAATGTCATCAATCCCTTCCAGAAACCTGTATCTCTAACTCTGGTAATATCCCAGACAGTTCCACAATTTCCAATGTCACTGCTCTGCCCCTGATGGAGCCTGTAATGTTGTACACTTGGCCTGTTATAAAGAACTTCTTACCAAGACTTCATGGCTCACTCTCCTCTTCTGATTTCAGCACCTTCACTGCCTCCAAAGTCATCAAAACACAGCTAGGGGTGGGTGCGGTGGTTCACATCTGTAATCTCAGCACTTTGGGAGGCCGAGGAGGGCGGATCACCTGAGGTCGAGAGTCCAAGACCAGCCTGACCAACATGGAGAAACCCCATCTCTATTAAAAATACAAAATTAGCTGGGCGTGGTGGTACATGCCTGTGGTCCCAGCTACTTGGGAGGCTGAGGCAGGAGAATCGCTTGAACCCAGGAGGCGGAGGTTGCTGTGAGCTGAGATCATGCCATTGTACTCCAGCCTGGGCAACAAGAGCGAAACTCCATCTCAAAAAAAAAAAAAAAAAGCACACAACTAGGAGCCGTCCTCCTGCACACACACGCTCCGAGTCACGCCAGTGCCTCCAGGTGAGACTGAGACTCCTCAGAAACCACTAGTTCCTCAGCTTGCCTCCCCATTCTCATCTCCGGGATCCCCCACTCCCTTCAGTCTGATGGAAAGTCACAGTTTTAATTTGCCACTGTTTTTGTCTTCATCAGTTGTCCTCTGGATTCAAATCTCCCTTTTTCCGCCTTCTCCTGTGACCTCATCTATAGAACTCTACCATCTCTAAGGCCTAGTCCGAATGTGGCTTGGTTCATAAAGTTTCCCAAGATTTCTCTGAGCAGAACCTGGCTTTTCCTCTTCTGCTGCCATAGCACTGCGGCTGCACGTAGCTCAGTTTGTTCTGTTCATTGTTTTTTTCTATCCTCCCCATGATCTGCTGGTAGTTGAAGGGCACGGAAGGTGTCTGGTCGATCTGTACCTTGGCATTCAGAGACAAGTTGCTCTATCCGTTGTCTTACTGTTCTCTCCCCTGAAACTTGGACATCGTTTATTTTTCTCTTCCTATTTTTCTCTTCCTCCTCTTGCTAATCTTGGACCAAGATCCCTTCTCAAAGGTCCTAATTTTGATTCCCTGGAGAGCCAATGCTATTCTGCTTCCAAATCTTCCTTTGAAAGATAGTAATAACAGGCAATTTCATCAGCCCTTTTCCTGCAGCAGATGCTGTAATCACACAAGAGTTCCATTTTATCTGTCCTAAAACTCAGTGTGGTAACCCATTGAGGTCAGGAGGGCTGAATCCTGGGAAAAGCCCCGTAGCCCCATTTGGCAGACGTGAGAAATGGAGGTGAATGACTACTTCTCGGGAATGTTAAAAAAAAAAATCCAACTGCTGGTGAATGAGTGTCATGGGTGATGACTATCTGGGGCTGGTATCATGCAGGTGGTAAACAGCTGTGGGTAAAGAAAGGCAGATTTATTAGAGAAAGTAAGAAAATTCATTGCAAGACAGCAACCGGCAAGTCAGCAAGAGAGGAGCTGAGTGCAAAGGGGTTTTATAGGATGGTGCTTGTGTTGGAGAAAGCTCTGTGCAGTAGGAATAACGCCAAGGTCTCAAGTGAGCATTCTTCTAGCTTGCATTCTTCTCTCAGCCGAAGGTCTGGTGATAGCTGGGCACAGGATGATTGTGAGTTATTTGTGCAGGAGGCTTACGTGTCCTGGACCATGAAGAAAGGCAGATCTGTAGCTCACCTGGCTTCACTTTTCATTGTCCTCTCCTCCCACCAGCCTCACTCTTTCCATTATTAGGAATCTATAATGAGGACTTCTGTTGAAAGCTTGAAATGCAACATTTAGATGGTCCTTGGCTTGTTATATGATTGTTAGATGCTTTTGAAAATGTCACTTGACCCCCACTTATAATCTATAATGTTAGATCTAAGGGTTCTCAAAAATACTCATCTAATTGCCTGGAGAGTGTGAGGAACGGACAGAAGGTAGGTGACTGGCCCAAGGTCACATAGCTAGTGGGTGCCACATTGTGTATATGACACAGCATTAACCCAAATACAGAGAGAAGAGAGAAGAGGAAGTTCTGCTTGAAGCTAGGGATGCTGAGGGCATGTAGATTTCCTTCCAAAACAGATAGACTTGGCCTCTTATCAACATATTATTGAGTTGGTTGCCACAGCCACAGTGATTGACTAAACTGGTCACCTAAGTCAGTCACCCATACCTTCTCCCAAAACAGTACATGTAACTGTCTCAGACTCTTCCTCTGGGACATCGCGCCAGAGCCAGCCTGCAAGCACTGGCACTGTAGACAAGGGCAATGTGAAAAGACTTGGCCAGTGGGGCAGAAATGCTCCTTCTGGGCCAGCTTGAAGACTTGCTGGGGGGATTAAAAGAGATAGTGGTTGCAGAGGGTGCCCTGTCGCTCCTGACTAAACATTTAATGATGATCACCCACATGAGCTACTTTATTTTTTTAGAGACGAGGTCTTAATTTGTTTCCCAAGCTGGAGTGCAGTGGCATGGTTACAGGTCACTGCAGCCTTGAATTCCTGGGGTCAAGGGATCCTCCCACTCAGCCTCCCAAGTAGCTGGGACTACAGGCATGTGCCACCATGCCCTGCTAATTGAAAAAAAATATTTAGAGACAGGGTCTTTCTGTGTTGCCCAGGCTGGTCTAAACTACTTTTATATAATCTCGGAATTTGCGTCTGGAAGGAACTTTAGAGATCTTCTAGTTTGGCCTCTCCCATGAGGGATACCTGATGGACGGTCTAGAGTAGAGCCTTGCTACTCGGGGCATGGGCGGCTGACCAGCTGCATCAGTGTAAGGTGCATGCCTGGGATGCTGTTCAAGTGATCTAAGTGCTGCTCAGGGTTCTCTAGGGAAGGGGTCCTAACCACTCGGTCAATGGGAAGCTTTGTGAGTTACTCCGTGTGCCGAGTGGAGTTCTTCCTCTCATGATGTGCACGTCTTGGTTGGGGTTCGGCCTTTTGGTGCAACCAGAGCTAGTCTTTCCTGCTTTCTCAAGGGCAATCGTTCAGTCATTTGAAGATAACCATCATTTGTCTCCTGAGTCATCTCTCTGCCTAAGAAGGCTGCTTCCTTCAGCTGTACATCGTGACCCACGATTTCCTAAGCCTTCCCAATCTTGCTCCCCTGCCTTTGGACAATTTTCAAGTTTATAATTAATGCAGAGCTTCCTTCCTGAAAAGATTAGAGTTGGTTTATGACAACGAGAGCAAAAGCACAGCCAAGTTGATTGCTGCAGTGATCTTTATTCTTGCTAGAAAAGGGAAATTCAGATTAGGAAAAATGTGGAAGCAGATGTCATAACTGTAAGGGTTAATAAAATTGATATAATTCAGCACAGAATTTGGCTCTGCACATCTAAACAGCAAAAGTAAAAAGAAATGAACAGTAAGTTATGGATATTTGTTGTTACAAAGGAGAATGCATACAAGACTCTCTTGGGAAATGTGTTTTTTTTCTTGACTCTAAGCTTCTCCTGCAAGTTTTTATTTATTTATTTATCTTTAAATTTATATATTTTGAGACAGAGTTTCTCTTTGTCTCCCAGGCTGGAGTGCAGTGGTGTGATCTCGGCTTGCTGCAACCTCCGCCTCTGGGCTCAAGCAATTCTCCTGCCTCAGCCTCCCGAATAGCTGGGAATACAGGTGTGTACCACCATGCCCAGCTAATTTTTGTGTTTTTGGTAGAGATCGGGTTTGGCTGTGTTGGCCAGGCTGGTCTCAAACTTCTGGTGTCGTGTGATCCAACGGCCTCGGCCACCCAAAGTGCTGGGATGACAGGTGGAAGCTACTTCTCCCAGCCCTGCAAGTCTTTTTAAAAAATAAACTATTAATCTTGGAATAATTTTAGATGTACAGAAAAGTTGCAAAGATAATACCAAGTTCCTGTATATTCCTCCTCCAGTTCCTCCTAAGGTCAACATCTTCTAGAACCTTGATACATTTGCCAAAACTAAGAAACTAACATTGCTACATAACTGTTAGCGAAACTCCAGACTTTGTTTCGGTTTCAGCAGTTTCCCCACTGATACCCTTTTTCTGTTCCAAGATTCAATCCAGGATATCACGTTAGCTTTAGTCATCCAGCCTCCCTGTTCTCCTCTGATTTGTGAGTTTTTCGGGTTTTTCTTCGCACGGGTTTTTATTGCTGTCCTTCTCGTTCTTATTGGGAATGTTGAGTAATCTCCTTAATAAGAAGATTTATAACAAGAGCGGAGTCACCTTTCATACTTCGTCTCTGTGATGCTCAATGAAGGTCGATATTAACATTCCAGGGCATTTTAGTGAAAGAGGATTTTGTAGACTGGGCCAGTGGGGGCTTTCTCGTGGCTTAACCTGGACGGTAGATAGCAGTGAAGGCAGAAGTCGGTGACTCTCGGCCTTCCTTCTTAAACATCACTTCTCTTAGCAAGGCTTTCTAAAAGAGGTGGGAGTAGGTAGTCCAGGGTTGTATTCTCTCACAGTGGCCTGAATGGATGGCAGCTGTATCGCTGATGAAGAACAAATCCTCACCTTATAGGAAAATGGGTGATGTACGATGGTTCTTCGTCATGCTGATATAAAATCTGTTTTCTTCGTTAGCTTAACAATGTGCTCAGAGTTCAGTGCAGAGTTCCCACGCTGGCGCCCCGGTTTTCTCTCCTTTCCATTAAACTTAGGAGTTGGGTTTCTCAAAGATTTTCCCCCCAAGCCGTTGCTACCTGAGCATCAGAGAACGATGCCAAACCCAGTCCCCACAGGAAGTGGGCCGTGGCAGTGCTGTGGTGACACGGCAGAATCAGGCCACTTAAAAAGAAGCTGGGAAAGGAATGCATCATAACAGACTGGAAAATGTGGATTATTCAGGGACTAACGGAGGCTGTGGTCTAGTTGAAGGAACATTTCTGGCAAAGCAGCCGAGTCCTCAGCTGGCGGAAGAATCTCTCACTGCTGATATAGCAACACCTTGGCCTATTTCACATGGTGCATTATAGAATTTTGCAGCCTTGACAATGGGAATGAGTTTTGCTCTAGAGGAATAAGAGTTTGAGATATCAAATAAGCAGTATGGTATTATTTGTGTAAAAATATCCATCCATGGAAATCTGAGGCCAGGTGATATTCTAATCTCAGATGGCTTCTGAAAACCAATATTGCCTTTCAAGGATGAAACATTCTTTGTTATTGGAGTTATACATTAAAAGCTCTAATTTAATTCATTAAGTGCTCCTGGGGCATTGATAGGGAGATTGTAAAAAGAGTAGAAATGACCAGGCACGGAGGCTGACACCTGTAATCCCAGCACTTTGGGAGGCTGAGGCGGGTGGATCACAAGGTCAGGAGTTCAAGACCAGCCTGATGAATATGGTAAAACCCTGTCTCTACTAAAAATACAAAAATTAGCCTGGTGTGGTGGTGTGAGCCTGCCTAGTCCCAGCTACTCTGGAGGCTGAGGCAGGAGAATCGCTTGAGCCCGGGAGGCGGAGGTTGCAGTAAGCTGAGATCATGACACTGCACTCCAGCCTGGGTGACAGAATGAGATTCCATCTCAAAAAAAAAAAAGGTAGAAATTTCAGTCTGGTTGGAAACTGTGACATATGTTCAATTTAACTTAATAAATAATATTTTGTGGGCATATCACATGGCTGGTACTGTCCCAGGCTCCAGGGATACAGAAATGAGTAAGACTAAGTTGTCAGCTTTGAGGACTTAATGGCTTAGAAGGAGACAGCACCCCAGAAGTTCCACATCATGTGTTGATTCGGTTCTTCCAGGTTGATGTGTTTACGGTCATTACGTGTTCTTTACATTGCTTGAGTTTTGCGGCTGTTATGGCCTCTTTTGAATTGTAATATCTAGAAAACCAGTGGAATGAAGAACAGGGGAACTTTGTATCCAAACCCACTGGAAACAGTGAATGCATTAGGGAAACTTGAGAGGCATTCTCAAAGTGCCACGGCAGCACTGATAGCAGGTATTTCACCCACCCTGGGGGTAAAGGGACAGCTTCCTGGAGGAGGTGACACCTGAGCTAAATCCGGGGACAAAAGAAACAGTGGAAGTAGGGGGCAGCAGCATCGTTAGGAACATACAGGTACGCAGCGACAATGTTAGCGCCACAGCAGTTCTGTGCTGTTCAGAGGTGAACCGTGCCTCGGCGGGTGGTGCCGTGAAACTGGTAAACCATGCTCCGGAGCCTGCACTCTGACTTTGGCTGATGGAGACTCACAGGTGTTCTCATCAGGGTCTGGCCCTTTCGTGTTTTAGATAAATCTCACTGGTGACCACCTGAAGGGTGAGTTGGATGGGGGACAGAGTGGACACTGGAGACTCTGGAAAGATGTTGGTTGGAGAGCACCGTCATGACCCCCTGTCCTTTCCTCTCTGCTGGGATCATTGACCAGTAAGACAAACGTGGCTCCCTGTTGGAGCCTGGAGAGGGATCCCAAACACATCCGGAGCTTTGAGCATGACAGGTAGTGCGGGCAACAGCTAGTGGAGGGTTGCATTGGTGCACCATTATTTGCAATACTGAGGGAACGGCCAAGGACCTGGGAGGAAGCCAGACTTTCTGGCAAAGTCAAGGCCAGAGCCTACTGCTCCAGAGGGCACAGGCTGCGGATTCCATGGGTCTTGGTCCTCCTCAAGAGGAACTGCCCTGCTGGGCTGAACTGCTCTCCTTCCATGTGGAAAGGATTGGCCCTCCCGAAGTCCCTGAGATCCTGGGTGTCCCTTCAGGGGCTTCAGTCAAGAGGCCCCCGCTACCCAGGCTGCTGGGCCCTGACTCATAGGAGAAACAGTTCCTCCTCAAGTGGCCAGCTCCCCCGGCCTGCAAGAGCTTGACATCCAGATCTGCATTACGTGATGTAAGTAGGCAGAGAAAGGCCCTGAACCATTTAGCAGGCTCGGCGGCTTGAAGGGAAACCTAGCCAAAGCCAGGCTAGGGAGTGCTAGTTCAGACTTGGGAAGAAACAGGAAATTCAAAGCCACTGTGTAAACCTTACTGAAATATTAGACTACATTGCAAAGGAATGGTCAAAGAGCCGGAAAAAAAAAAAGTTCCTGGAAATAAAAAAAATATATTTTTAAATTAAGAAAAGATGAAATAGGTTAATGACCAAAAAAAATGGAACAAACATTGATTTAGTAATTTGGACAATCAAAAGAGTGACGAGATCACTGATTACCTGTGGTCCCAGCTCAGCTACTAAGTGATTCACAGGTATTAAAACAAACAAATAAACAAAAAAACGACCAGTGAAGTCATAGTGTTCATCTTCTCAAGGGTTTTATACGTACCGCATTTTCACAATATCATCTTCTGCAACATTTCACTGAATAGATTCAGTTCTTCTAGATCAAAGCATCTACATGGATGGAATGGGGCATCTGTTACGGTTGCTTTTGTGTTGTGATATCTAGAAAACCAGTGAAATGAAGAACAGGAGATCCTGCTAAAGGAGATCCTTTGTATCAGAACCGATTGCAAACAGGAAAAGCAGCAGTTAAGGGGACATTTGTAGGTTGAAATGTGTTGCAGCTTTTCCCTAGTTTACAAATGAGACATGGCTCATAAGTGGTTCACAGAAACATAAAAACGGAGATGAAACCAGGTGCGGTGGCTTACGCCTGTAATCCCAGCACTTTGGGAGACCGAGGCGGGCGGATCACGAGGTCAGGAGATCGAGACCATCCTGACCAAGATGGTGAAACCCCATCTCTACTAAAAATACAAAAAATGAGCTGGATGTGGTGGCGCGTGCCTGTAATCCCAGCTACTCGGGAGGCTGAGGCAGGAGAATTGTTTGAACCAGGGAGTCGGAGGTTGCAGTGAGCTGGGGTTGTTCCACTGTACTTCAGCCTGGCAACAGAGCAAACAAACAAATAAACAACAACAACCCTCCCCCCCCCAAAAAAAGCAGAGATTAAAACAATAATGTAAACACCACAACCCAAACATAGAATGTGCAAATACAGAATGTGACTCTGTGTGCTGGAACAAGTAAAACTGTATAATTTGTCAAAAGAGGAGTGCAAATAAGAGGAATGAGAGCAAATAAATAAGAAACCGGATTTTAATGGAAGCAATCTATTTCCCCCGGTCCCTAATAAGTTGTTTGTTATGAAACTTCGTCAAGTATAAAATGGAGCCTTCAAAGTTCTGGTGTTGTTCCCAGACAAAGCACACAAACCTCTTTAGTTATCTTCCAACTGATTAATTTTGTTGCTAATGGCAGAGACGAGACTGAAATTACAGCGACATCGTTCAGAATTCCAGAGTCCTCATAGCAGAATAAACACTGTTGATGGGAAGCTTGTAAAACCAGCCAAAAAACAGATGATAAATATACATGGCGCTAAGGGAAATGAGTTACTGAAAAATTTATTTAAAAAATGGTGCTGTTGGACCTGACAGGCAATGTGAAAGAGCAGTTGCAATCATGCAAGGTTGGCAGAAACTCCTGACATGTAGGTAGAGTATGAATTGGCTCATGGCACAGGTGTGATGCATACATGAGGGAAAAGAGCTTAGAGAATTGTGTCTTTTCTTTTGGTCACTAAAAGAGCATGTGCTCAGAAAAAGATTTTTCATTTAGTTGCTGATTAGTTTGTGAGCTGTGGTATAGATTTTGCAAATATGTGTTGGAATCTTCTCTCAGTATACTTACCTATGTGCATAGCAAGGCAGTGCAGTGATTGATAAAGGATTTTTTTTTTTTTTTTTGAGACAGGATCTTGCTCTGTTGCCCAGGCTGGAGGCAGTGGTGAGATCATGGCTCACTGCACCCTCAACCTCCTGGGCTCAGGGGATCCTCACACTTCAGCCTCCTGGGTAGTTGGGACTTTAGGCACAAGACACCACGCCTGGCTAATTTTTGTACTTTTTTGTAGGAATGGGATTTTACCATGTTTGCCCAGGCTGGTTTTAAACTCGTCAGCTCAAGATTACAGGCGCGAGCCACTGTGCCCAGCCTGCTCTGCATTGTGGATCCGCATGTGAGTCTCTTCCCTGAGAACAATTGGTAGCCAGTGGTATTTAGCCTTCTTGATCTCGATTCAAGATTGATGAAAATAATGAAAATTGTGACTATTCACATTGTACCCACTGGGCACCTAGTATAAGACGTTTGCAACACTCAAGTCTCCTGTTCAAGAGAAAGCAGTGCTCAAGAGTTTTTGAAAGCAGGAATGAAACAGGAACATTTCTTCATGGCTGATAATACCATAAACTATTTCTGAGGCTTCAAGTGCTTTGCTTGCTGGTGTTATCTCAGCCCTGTGTTTATTGTCTTTAGAGCTGGAACCTATTGCCTCAGGGCTGAGTGACCATGAATTTTCACATCAAGGATAAGATACCAACTTCCAATAGAACAGTGGGGAAAGTTTGTCTTTTCTCAAACATTGGATGATTTTCTTCTCAGGGAGAAAGAAATCAATGATTTATTATTTGGCATATTTTAAAATTACCTCCAGGGGCTGCAATGGAGCGTGAACAGCTACTTTCCAAAGACTAGATTAGGAATCCATTGAGCACTGATGCCAAGCCCAGAGTCATGCCTCCAACTTTTCAGGGTGATGTGCTTATTGACTTAGCATCTGACAGAGAGCTGAAAGAGCCTTCAGTGAGTCATTGTCCACGATCTCCGTGTCCCTGTTCAACCCAGATATCTAGCACTCTCTGACAGAGCCAAACTCTTGCTGCCCTGCTCAATAACTCACAACTGGTAAATTTAGGTAAATATAGAAGAAGCCAGTCAGATGTGGAATCCTGTGACATAAACTATGTCATCAATTCTAAGAGTGAAAGAGTTCCAACTGTCATTTTTTTCATTGATCTGAAATGAGTAGTATGGATTTTATGTCTTCTGATTTTTATCATAACATTTACAATGAATCTCTTGAGAAATGACCTAAAATTTTTGCTTGAAATGCCCATTAAGTGGTCTGTGGATGGCGAGCCAAAGTTAGAGAAATCTTGGTTTAACCTAACAGAGCTTGTTAAAGAAATGCCCTTCCCGTCCTTATGGGGTGGAGTACATTTCCTTATTCTTCTAGGAATATTTCTGTCCTGAGAGCATCTCTATTAATCAGGTTTTTTTTCCAGAGAAACAAAACAAATAGGAGATATATACGTATATATGTAGGTAGGTATGTATACAAAGAGGCATACCTTGGAGACGTTGCTGGTTTAGTAAATATTGCTATACAATGAGCCACATGAAATTTTTCTTTTCTCAGTGCATACAAATGTTATGTCTGCACTATATTGTAGTCTATTAAGTGTGCAATAGCATTATGTCCAAAAAACAATATACGCACCTTAATTAAAAATACTTCTAAAAATGCTAATGATCCTCTTAGCCTTCAGCAAATCATTATCTTTTTGCTGATGGAAGGTTTTGCCTTGATGTTGATGGCTGCTGATTGATCAGGGTGGTGGTGGCTGAGGGCTGGAGTGGCAGTGTCAATTTCTTATAATAAGATGACAGTGAAGTTTCTCACATTGATTGACTCTTCATTTCAGGAAAGATTTCTCTGTAGCATGGGATGCCGTTTGTTAGCATTTTACTCACAGTAGGATTTCTTTCAAAATTGGAGTCAATCTTCTCAAACCCTGCTTCTGCTTTATCAATTAAGTTTATGGAATATTCTAAACCTTGGTTGTCATTTCAACAATATTCACAGCATTATCACCAGGAATAGATTCCATCTCAAGAAACCACTTTCTTTGCTCATCCATAGGAAGCAGCTCCTTATCTGTTCAAGTTTTATCATGAGGTTGCAGCAGTTCAGTCACATCTTCAGGCTCCACTTCCAATTCTAGTTCTCTTGCTATTTCCACCACACCTGCAGTTCCTTCCTCCACTGAAAACTTAAACTCCTTAAAGTCATTCATGAGAGTTGGAGTAAATTTCTTCCCGAGTCCTACTAATGTGGATATTTTGACCTTCTTCTATGAATCACAAATGTTCTTAATTGCATCTAGAGTGGTAAATCCTTTCCAGAAAGTTTTCAACTTACTTTTCCCAGATCCATCAGGGGGATCATTATCTATGGTAGCTATAGCCTTGTGAAATGTATTGCTGACGTAATAAGACTTGAAAATCAGAATGACTCCTCAATCCCTGGACTATAGTATGGATGTTGTGTTAGCAGGCATGAAAACCTTAATTTCTTTGTATATCTCCATCAGAGTTCTTGGGTGACTTGGTACACTGTCAGTGGGTGGTAGCATTTTGAAAGAAAATTTTTTTTCTGAGCAGTAGGTCTCAACAGTGGGCTTAAAATATTCAGTAAACCATGTTGTAAACAGATGTACTGTCATCCAGGCTTCATTATTTCATTTATAGAGTATAGGAAGAGTAGATTTATGGTAATTCTCAAGAGCCCTAGGATTTTCAGAAGGGACAATAGCATTGGCTTCAATTTAAAATCACCAGCTTCATTAGCCCTTAACATGAGAGTCAATCTGATTTTTGAAGCATTGAAACCAGGCATTTACTTCTCACTAGTCATGAAAATCCTAGATGGCATCTTCTTCCAATGCAAGACTACTTGGTCTACCCTGAAAATCTGTTGTTTAGTGAAGCCACCTTCATCGATGATCTTAGCTAGGTCTTCTGGATAACTTGCTGCAGCCAGCTTCTACAGCAGCACTTGCTGTTTTACCTTGCACTTTTATGTAATGAAAATGCCTTTTTCCCTTAAACCTCATGAGCCAACCTCTGCTAGCTTCCAACTGTTCTTCTGCAGCTTTCTTACCTCTCTCGGATTTCATAGAATTGAATAGAGTTAGTGCCTTCCTCTGGATTAGGCTCTGGCTTAAGGGAATGTTACGGCTGTTTTGGTCTTCTATCCAGACCACTCAAACTTTCTGCGTAACAGCTATAAGGCTGTTTCCCTTCCTTATCATTAGTGGGTTCACTGGAGTAGCTCTTTTAATTTCCTTCAAAATCTTTTTCTTTGCATTCACAGCTTGGCTAATTGTTTGGCACAAGAGACATAGCTTTTGGTCTATCTTGGCTTAGACATGCCTTCCTAAGTTTAACCATTTCTAACTTTTTTTTTTTGAGATGGAGTCTCGCTCTGTCACCCAGGCTGGAGTGCAGTGGCATGACCTCGGCTCACTGCAACTTCTGCCTTCCTGGTTCAAAGGGTTCTCCTGTCTCAGCCTCCCAAATAGCTGGGATTACAGGCACATACCACCATGCCTGGCTAATTTTTGTATTTTTAGTAGAGATGGGGTTTTGCCATGTTGGCCACGCTGGTTTCGAACTCCTAACCTCAAGTGATCTGTCTGCCTTGGTCTCCCAAAGTGCTGGGATTACAGGCATGAGCCACTGTATCTGGCCTCTAGCTTTTAAGTGAGAGATGTGCAATTCTTGCTTTCACTCCAACACTTATAGACCATTGTAGGATTATTCAGTGGCTTAATTTCAATAATATTGTGTCTCAGGGAATATGGAAACCCAGGGAAATAAAGAGAGATGAGGAAACAGCCATGGGTGGGGTAGTCAGAACACCGACATTTATTGATGAAATTCACCATCTTCCATGGGCATAGTTCATGTCCCACCCACCACAACAATTACAATAGTAACATCAAAGGTCACTGATCACAGATCACCATAGCAATATAATCATAAGCATAATGTTTAAAACATTATGAGAATTTCCAGAATGTGACACAGACTCACAATGTGAGTACCCACTGTTGGAAAAATCTTAATGATAGAATTGCTCAACAGAGGATTAACACAAACCTTCAATTTGTAAAAAACACAATGTCTGCAAACTGCAATAAAGCAATGCTCAATGAAATGAGATATACCTGTATGTATGTGTGTGTATGTGTATGTCTTATATATCTCATGTATGTATGGATATGGAGGAAAAGATATATTGTAAGGAATTGGCTCATGTCATTACAGAGGCTGAGCAGTCCCAAGATCTGAAGTTCAAAGGCTGAGAACCAGGAGAGCCAATGGGGCAAGTTCCAGTCCAAGTTCCAAGGCAGGAGATCAGTATTCCAGCTCCAAGGCCATTAGGTAGACGGAGAGAGTAAATTCCCTCTTACTCAGCCTTTTGAAAATTCAGGCCTTCGATTAATGGGATGAGGTCTGCCCACACTGGGGAGGGCAATCTGCTTGACCCAGTCTACTGATTCTAATGTCAGTCTCATCCAGAAACACCCTTATACACATACCCAGAATAACATTTAACCAAATATTTGGGCACCCCATGGAGCAGTCTGGTTGAAACGTAAAATTAACCATTGCAGGGTCCTCAGCCCTCCTGAATGTAAGATTACATGTGCATTCCAACAGTATCTATGCAAGCTGTGGATGAACTCAGCAGACAATAGAGCTTAAATTGAAGCACCAGAGTGCACACAATCACGTTAATATGCTTCTAGTGTGACTGTACCATCAATTTTCTGGGTCTGCCTGGAACCTCGATGTTTCTAAATCACTATCCTCAGAAAAGGACTCACATATCAGGGTCCTTAATTGCAAGTAACAGACACTGATTCTGAGTGACGTTAGTAGCAAAGTAATTTATTAAGAGGATGTTGGGTAGCTCACACCCACTCACTGAGAGGTCTTGGAAAACTGGACTTGAAGGCTACATAACTGGGGGCCATGATCAAAATTACTTTTGTAGAATTGGTTCTATTTCTGTGTGACTATCACTGCTGCCTCTGCCACCCCATGGAGAGAGCACCGCCGACACTTCCAGCTCTGGATGAGCAATAGCCATTGTTGCTCCGGAGTTCGTTCTTGGTCCACTGCTGCCAGATAGAGGCAGTCTGAGTCCCCAAACTGAGGAAGTTGGAGTCGGATGCTCGAGGGCAGGAAGCATCCAGCAGGGGAGAAAGATGTAGGCTGGGAAGCTTCACACCTCTCTCCTTTTCATGTTTCCCTGCCTGCTTTATATTGGCCAGCAATGATTAGCTGGTGCCCACCAGGTTCAGGGTGGATCTGCCTTCCCCAGCCCACCAACTCAAATGTTCATCTCTTTTGGCAACACCCTCACAGACACACCCAGGATGAATACTTTGTGTCCTTCAATCCAATCAAGTTGACACTCAGTTAACCATCACAGCAAGTGAGGCGGGGTTACTAAGAAATAGATAACAAACATTGCAGCGGTTTTTAGTAGTGTGTTCAGGGAAGAATACTTGATCAGTTGACATTGGAGCAGGGACCTGAAGGCGATAAGGAATGAGTGATGGGGTTGTCTAGGGGAGAGCCTTCCATTTTCTGATTAAGGTGGGTTAGCTTATTCTGGCAAATCCTGTTCCTAAAAATAACGAAAATGTTGGATTTTTTAAATACACTTTTTATTTTGGAATAAATTTAGGCTTATGCAAACATTATTAGGACAGTATAGAGAGCCACCATCTACCCCTCACCCAGTTTCCTTGATTGTTAATATCTTACAGGACCACAGGACATTTGTCAGAACTAGGAAACCAGCATTGGTGCAAGTCTATTAACTCCAGGCATTATTTGAATTTCATAAGTTTTTAAGTTACCATCGCTTTCCTGTTCCAGGATCAAATCCAGGATGCACATGGCATCTACTTGTTATGTCTCCTCGGTTTCTTCTGATTTGTGACAGCCTGGCTTTGCTTTTCCTGACCTTGACAGTTTTGAGTATTGGCTATTTTGTAGAATGCCTCTCAATTGGATTTTGTCTGATTTCCTTCCTTCCTCCCTTCCTTCCTTCCCTCCCTCCCTCCCTCCCTCCCTCCCTCCCTCCTTCCTTCCTTCCCTCCCTCCCTCCCTCCCTCCTTCCTTCCTTCCTTCTTCCTTCCTTCCTTTTCTTTCTTTACTAATTTTTAAAAAATGTGTTGAAATACACGTAACTGAAAACTTGCTGTTGTAACCATTTACGTATGTCCATTCGGTGGTATGAATACATTTATAATGTGCAACCATCACCATGATCCCTCTCCAGAACGCTTTTCATCTTGTAAAAATGGTACTCTATAACCCATTAAACAACAATTCCCTTTTTCCCTTCCCCCACAGCCCCTGGCAACCCCATTCTACTTTCTGTTTCTGTGAATTTGCATTTTCTAGGTACCTCCTTAGTAATGGCATCATATGATGGTCATCCTTTTGTGACTGGCTTATTTCACTGAGCATAGTCCTCAAGATTCGTCATGCAGTAGAATGTGTTAGAATTCTCTTCCTTTTTCAGCCTGAGTGGTATCACATGGTGTGGATAGACCACACTGTGTTTATTTATTTACCCATTGATGGATATTTAGGTTGTTTCATCATTTGGCTCCTGTGAACAATGCTGCCATGAACACTGGCCTACCAAGTGTTTAATTTGAAATGTTAGCTAGCTAATATATTCACATGGCTCAAAAACTAGTGGAAAGTCTTGCTCCCACCCGTGTCCATGTCACTCAGTTCCCTTCTGCAACCTTTGTTATCAATTTCCTATGTTTCTTTCCAGAGATATATGACTTCCCTTTCTTTTCGGCAGAGATGATGCTGACTATCCTATATACACTGTTCTGCACCTGTGTTTAACCACGTTTCTTGGAGATCTAAGTTAAGAGTATTCTTGTTTTGTATAGCTGCATACAGTATCATTGTATGGATGTACCATATTTTATTCAACCGCCCCAGATTGATTGACATTTAGGTGCTTTCCAAGCCTGTGCTTTAGAAACACGGCTGCAGTGAATAATCTTGTAGAACTGTCATTTTTTAAATGCATAAATATATTTGTTTGATACATTCCTGGAAATGGAATTAGTCAAAAGACATTGCATGAGTAATGTGTATGTATAGAGTCAAATGTATATAGATAGATGTCTATATATATCTCAAAATTACTCACATATATATGAGGGATATATTTAGCCAAACTGCCCTCTATGGAAGCAGTTCCAGTTTATGCTTCCATCAGCAATAGGAGAGTGCCTGCCTGCGTGACCTTGCCAACACGATGTGTTATCCAAGATTTTAACCTTTTCTAATTGGACAGGTGAAAAAGTGTTTCTGTTATCCAAAAAAAGACTTGTCCAAGGATGTACATAATAGCCTTATAAAACTGTGTAAGAAACACTGTGCCAGTTTTAAAAAAAAGGGCTATGCCAAGAGTATGGCATATGCCTGTAACCCCAGCTGCTCGGGAAGCTGAGGTGCAAGAATGGCTTGAGCCCAGGAGTTTGAAACCAGACTGGGCAACATAGTGAGACCCCGCTTCTAAAAAGTAAAAAAGGCTGTGAAAATCATGCACCTCCAGGGCATCCTCCTCAGTGCCCATCTCAGAAGGGCTGTGGAGGACAGTGGGCAAGGCAGCACCTCCAGGGTCCAGGACAAGGGGCCAGAGAGGCCAATGGGCAGAGGGGATCATTTCAGAGGCAGAACCAGGGGTTGCTGGCCTGGCACAGTGAGGAGCTCCAGACTCTGCCAGCCAGAGTGTCTGCTCTGTTCACGTTTAGTGGGATACAGTATGCATGCTGTGGACGGGTGACTACTTTGTATTTTCCTCTTTTCTGAAAAATGTTGATTCACTTATTTTATTCCTTCCTTGATACTGTTGAGCAGATGAATTAAATAATGTGGGTTCTTTAGCTTATGGGTCACTAGGCCTTGAGAAGGCACATTTGGACCTACGATCCTGGACTTTGAGCTAGATGCGGCAACTGGATCAGGTATTAGGATGTTGGGGATCTCTGGGTAGGCTGTGGCAGACACTGTAGGATCCTCGGTGAACATTCACCCCACTTTCCTTTGGCCTCTTCTTTCTTGCTTACTGGTTTTGCTGGGGGTGAGTAGCATTTGCCCAGCAGAAAGTTATGAGTAGTGATGGATTTATCCTAATCCAGAAGCCTTCGGAACAATGGTTTGCTTTTCTGGTAAAAAGAACAGATGAAACTGATCCATTCTTTCTCTCGTCTTTCTACCTTGATGCAGGCAAGCTGCCTGGAGCTGCAACAGCTGTCTGGTAATGATAAGGTGACAACTAAGGATGACAGGGCAGGACAGGAAAAAGGAGGCTGGCTGGGCCTTTGGTCTTACTGAGCTGCTGTATCAGCTCTGCAATTCTGATTTCCAGAGTTCTTGTTATGTGATATAATTAAGTCTTTATTGCTGAAGCCACTATTAACATCAATATTCCATTGCTTACAGCGGGGAGCATTCCTAATGTATACACATGAATGGCCAAAGTCTCCTTTCTCAATGTTTTTAAAAGTGTCATAAGCTCTGATCAGTTCAGACAACCAATCTCAGGTTCCTCTCCTACTTTCCTTCAGGATTGATTACCCAAACCACCCTACTTGCTGTGTCAGTTTTCAAGGACTGTGAAGGGTCTGAGATTTTATACTGCTTGCAAGCTAATAAGTCAGCTTGACAGAATTTTATGGACGCTGGCAAAAGACGTGAGCCTCCTGGTTCAGAGACAAAGGACTTTGTTACTCATTGCAATGACTATGGCCAGAATATCATCATTTATACCGCTTCCCTGAGCCCCAGGGATGTGAAGATGTTTAGGTGATACCTTTATACAAAGTGGGGTTCATTTCAAGAGATAAATCCCAAGCCTAAGTAACCTAAATCTTTTATAATGAGTTTAATTCAGCCTGTCCAACTTACACCCTGGAAGGAGACATTATCTTTGTTATTCTGCATAGAGAACAAATATGCCTTGGCTTCTCCTTCTGAGGACCTATCTCTGTTTTCCAAAGCTGTTCATTCTATAAACATCCTTGGAAAGATACTCTGGAACAAAGACAGTGATAACCTCTGCTCTAAGACATGCACAAAGGTGAGAAACCCATGGAAATTGTCTCCCAATATTAGACTGTATTCTTAGTTGCAAGTAATAGAAATGGACTCTGGCTGGTTTAAGCAAAAGGAACTTGTTAAACCAATGTAAGATACAGCCACTTTAGAGAACTACATATATGGCAATATCTAGTTAGCCTGGGGAGGCTCATAGGGAAAGACCTATCAATTCTACTTCTAGGGATATACCATCTAGGAACCCTGGCACACAAAGACCAGAAGAGATGTGATGTATCGGAGTCTACAGCAGTATTCTTTATATTAACATAACATTAGAAATAACTCAAATGTCTGGCTATAAGGGAATGTACAAATTGTGATACATTCTTTCAGTGGAATTCTCTTAGAGTCACAGGAATAAAAATGAGTGAACTAATAGCCACATGCATCATCCTGGAATAATTAATAATCATAGTGTTGAGTGAGAAAAAGCCAGTTTCAGAAGGATATGTAGAGTATGACACCATTTATATGAAGTTTAAGGATATACAGGATGGCCAGGCACTGTGGCTCACGCCTGTAATCCCAGCTCTTAGGGAGGCAGAGGCAGGAGGAGAGCTTGAGCCCGGGAGTTTGAGACCTGCCTGGGCAATATAGCGAGACGCTGTTCGAAAAGAAAAACAAAAGAATATACAGGATGACGCCATGTCATGCTCAGGGTTCCCTAATATATAGTAAAGTATTAAAGGTGCATGAAAATGGGAATACCAATTCCAAGCAGTATGTTGTCTCTCCATGGGGAGGCAAGCAGAATTTAACTAATTTATCCAAGTTTCACATTTAAGTTTTATTATTGATTAAAATTCTCTAAGAAATAATGTTGATTAGCTTAGTAGAAGGATAGAGACATGCAGACCTGAGCTCAGAGGCCACCGAGCCAGGACCAAGGGATATAATCCCAGAGCATTCCAGTACAGAGTGGGTCTGGGGAGGACACAGCTGTTGTCTTGCTGAAGACTACACCCTTGGTGCCAGCACCAGGAGCCCTGGCTCTGGACACGGGTTGCCGCCCTAGCAGTTCACCTCTCTTCCTCCAGGCGCTCAAATATCGTTGAGAATCATCTGTGGTCCTTGCTTCCTTGCCTCACACACCTGTTTCAAAGTCTAGGCCGTGTGATCGTGCTCTAGCAGCAGGAGGACTGGGAAGGTAACCAGCTGGCGTTTTTGGCTCCTGTAGTAGGAGGTAGCCTCTGCCTCTCACTAAAATTCATAAGATTGGGAACACCTCAAACGTTGAAAGGAGGTTCAGAGGCTGGGTGCTCCAAAGAGTGACAAAGATCAATCCATGTGGTCAGGTGGAGTGTGTAAGGAAATCATCCTAGGAAACAGGAATAGAAGAAGTGATAACATTGAGGTGGTGTTTTTCTAGATAGTATGAGGAAAACAGTATGAGATAAAATTTCGTAAGCTGAACTTTACCTGGTTATGAGGAGTACTGAAATGTCAATTCCTCTGTCCATGGTTGTTTTCTAATGAGTTATTTTTTTAATTAAACTGAAGCGATCTCCTTTGTTAGTCTGTAAGCTCTTCAAAGTCTAGGACCATTCCTTACTTTGGAGAGATGCCATATTTGCTCTGGGAAGCCAAGGGCATTCAGGGCAGAGGGAACTGGGCATGAATCCTGAGTCTGCTGCTGCTTAGCTGAATGGCAGTGGCTCCATTAGACAGCCATTCTCAGTCTTGGCATGTTTGAAGCCATTCCTGTACACTTTATAAAATTAGTCATGGAAGAAGGAACGGGAAGAAACTAAGATAAATACTGAGTGTGCCTGCTTGCAGCACACCCAGTATTAATCATGAGGGCAGCCTGCTCTCTGACCTGCTTCCTCCTAGCTGTTTGGTGCATGTTGCCTCAGAATCACATAGACCCTGCAAGATTGTAGTTCCCCTTAACTGCTCTATAGATAACAGCTTGAATGTTACAAAGTGTTACATTTTCCATTTGAGATATTCTTTCAGGTTCTGCATACCAATGAAGCTACTGACGTCAGCTGGCCTGAAGGACCTCACAGGAGCTGACTCACCGAAGAATGCAGTTTCCACATTCTGATGATTTCATCCTCTCTCCTCTAACCAATCAATGACCTCAATTTTCCAGCTCCTTGCCCTCCATGGTCCCTTAAAAAAAACCCAGTCTAGAGCTCCTCAGGGTGATGGATATGAGGGCCTCCTTCCATCTCCTTGCTTAGAGCCCTGTGATCATTAAACTCTTTCTCTGCTGCAAACTCTGCTGTCTCAGTGTAATTGGTATGTTACTGTGCAATGGGCATACCAACCTGTTGGTCCTGTAACATCCTCATGAGCAAAATGGAGATTGCATCCACTTCTCTGTGTGGTAAAGATGAAATTCAACATGAATAAAATGATGTTCAGTAGATGTTCAGTAAATATTTCTTCCTTTCCCTTGTCCTTAGGCCCTTTCTGTTTCTCTTCAGGATGTAGCACTGGGCTTAGAAAGCCCCTGGCTGGTGTTTGCTGAATGAACTTGGCTTCATCATAACATTTGTAGACATGCTTCTTCCCTTTCTGTTTATAGCTGCCATGTGTGAGCTTATCTATAGCCCTTTTGCCAGCTTGGTATAATTCTGTTTTTCATGGGCAGCCTTTAGAAAATTCTTATGTGCCAAGATGACTTCACTGTTGCTTGTTTTCTTCATTCACGAAACAATTCATTTAACAAATGGAAAGACCAGATATGTGCTTGGCTCCAGTGGTAAATAACATGGATTTCACTGCCATGAAACTGGCAGCTACAATCAGAGGGACAGGCTTGACAATCTGCCCCCCCAGAATGGTGAACTCAGACAGTGCACAGCTGTCACGGCCACCTAACCCAGCAGTTCAACATATGCAATTTTATTCTGCTGTCATGCCATATAATTCTCAGGGTTTTCTAAAACAAAACAAAAAAAAAGAAGTTTTTAGTTAATTACTGTTTAATCATCTTATCAATATTTTGAGAAAATGACATTCCTACACATATTTCCCAACATGCCCAAAGCTCAGCTTTTATTTACTTTTATTTACCAACTCTCAGTGGTCTTTTGGGTAGGAATTAGCCAGGTCCCGTTTTAAATTTCTTGCTTCATGTAGTTTCGAAAAGCTCTACTTCCAGTTTTATCCCTACCTCTTCCCGCTGAGAAGGATCATGAATACAACAACTGCCACTAAGCACTGATTATGAAGACGGCAGTGAAATTACTGTATCAACAGTCTCATTAATCCAATCACTCGAGATGAACCCTGGTGGAAATTAATAGTGGCTGTAATGTAGCAGGGGATTGGCCCACTGGAAGCACAGGATGGACTGCTGAGCCCATCTGGCTCCAAATTCTGATGTTCGATCCTGCGGGGGAAGGGAGGGAAGATGGGAAGGCACAGGCTTCCCGCAAGGCTGTTGAAAAGAGGTGAGGCTGTGGAGTACGGTAAACATTAAAACAAATGAATCAGGGCTAATGTATGGACAAAGCTCTAAAGCATCATGGAAAGAAAAAAAAAGCAAGTTGCAGAATGATGTAAAACGTTTTGAAATCTGCATCTATTTATGACATTTATATGCGCATACAAGTTGCAGAGGGTATAAAAGCTTTTGAAATCTACTAAACAACTCTTTATGGTATTTATATGTGCATACTTAAATAAAAAGCTGTTAAATATACATGGGCACAACAGGGTCTGAATTCAGGATAGTGGTTGTCTCTGGGGAGGGACGAAGTTTGTGGGAGCTACCTGGGGACTCAAATGTTGCAGTGCTTCAGTGAAAGACAAGAAAGAGCTGAAGCAAAAGGAAGGAACAGGTGTGAGGACAGGAGCTTTGCCACCCTGTGGACACAGCCAAGGTGATACAGTGAGAAGTGGATGGAGCTGGATGGGAGACCTAAATCCAGATTTAGAAAACCAAGTACCCCATGTTCTCATTTAAGTGCACTTAAATCATATGAGAACATGGGGTATTTGGTTTTCTGTTCCTGAATTAGTTTGCTAAAAATAATGCCCTCTTGCTCCATCCATGTTGCTGCAAAGGACATGATCTTGTTCTTCTTTATGGCTGCACAGTATTCCAGGGTGTATGTATGTACCACATTTTTAAAATCCAGTCTTATTGATGGGCAGTCAGATTGATTCCATGTTTTGCTATTGTGAATAGTGCTGCAATGACCATATGTATACATGTGTCTTTATAATAGAACAATTTATATTCCTTTGGGTATATACCCAGTAATGGGATTGCTTGATCAAATGATATTTCTGCTTTTTTGGTCTTTGAGGAATCACTACGCTGTCTTCCACAATGGTTGAAGTTATTTGCGATCTGCTTCGATTTTAAGAAAAGAGAGTAGTCATCCAAGACAAGAAGAGACTGCATGGACAGCAACAGCAAAGGGCTTGGAGGAGGAGGAAGAGGAGAAGAACAAATGACAGAGAAAGCATGGAAGGAAAGAGACCCAGACACAATCAGTCAGCCAGTCCCCTGCTACATTACAGCCACTAACAGGATTGTTTGTGCTGTGGCTGGGTTGTGAGGACCTTGGGTGAGTTTTTGCAATCATTTCTGTGAAATGATGTGTTTCTGTGAAAATCCTTCCTTAATGTACATGAATTCATTGTGAAGACTGTTGAGGGAGGGATTCTTAGCAACCCAGGAGAGCTTTAGAGCAGGTATTGTCAGGCTGGGAAAAGAGCGAGATGCTCCCAGCAAGGGATCTCTGCATGCATCAGCACTACAGAGCTTAGATGTGGAAAACAAAATCATCCCCCCAAATATGAGGAAATACCTGGCAATTATAGAGAAAAATATCTCTAAAGCTATTCCACATTCCTTACCTTTAGGGATGGCTCCATGCCTGACCATAGCTGTTGAGACCTTCCAGACTGTTCTGTGTACAGGCTCACCAGGTAGGATGGGAAGAAAATGGAGGGGAAAAAACATCATTACCTACCTGTAGCAAATCAGCCTGCTCATCCTCAAGGGAACAAATTGTGTAAGATTCATTTGCATCTGTGAGCCTGGGGCTCTTTATCTATGCTTTTGCACAGGGGATTTTTAGCTTACTGGGGACATACAGTGGATGAGGTTATATCTTGGAGACCTTCGCCTGCAGTCTCCCCTCAAAAGACGATCTCTTCAATGAACGGCGCACTTGAAGCCACCCAGAATTTTGACTAATTGTTTGAGGTATTTTATTTTATTTAGCTTTTATTTTAAGTTCAGGCGTGCATGTGCAGGTTTGTTATATAGGTAAACTTGTGTCATGGGGTTTGTCGTACAGATAATTTCATCACCCAAGTATTAAGCCTAGTACCCATTAGTTATTTTTCTGGATCCTCTCCCTCCTCCCACCCCCTTCCCTCTGACAGGCTCAGTGTATGTTGTTCCCATCTATGTATTCATGTGTTCTCAGCATTTAGCTCTTATCAGTGAGAACATCAGGTATTTGGTTTTCTGTTCTTGCCTCAGTTTGCTAAAAATAATGCTCTCTAGCTCCATCCCTGTTGCTGCAAAGAACACGATCTTGTTCTTTTTCATGGCTGCATAGTATTCCAGGGTGTATATGTCCCACATTTTCTTTATCCAGTCTATTATTGATGGGCATTTAGATTGATTCCATGTTGTTTTGCTATTCTGAATAGTGCTGCAGTGAACATATGTATGCATGTGTCTTTTTTATAAAAAATCATTCTTTTATAGAATGATTTATATTCTTTTGGGTACATGTCCAGTAATGGGATTGCTGGGTCGAATGGTATTTCTGTTTTTAGGTCTTTGAGGAATCACCACACAGTCCTCCACAATGGCTGAAGTAATTTGCGATCTGTTTGGATTATTTTAAGACAAAGGACCTCTGCCGGAGGTTGCGTTGTCTGTTGGGTTTGGGGTGTTCGTTGCATTTGTCTCTGCATGTCTGTGTCCATTCTCTGTCTCTGGCTGACTTGCTATGTCCGGGTCTCTTCCCTTCCACACTTTCTCTGTCATTTGTTCTTCTTCTCTTCTTCCTCCTCCAAGCCCTTTGCTGCTGCTGTCCGTACAATCTCTTCCTGTCTTGGATGGCTGCTCTCTGTTCTCTTTTTATTGGGTTCTGTCTCTTTCTCTCCTTCTCTGATGTTTCTCTGAATGTTTGCTGGTGCCTATTGATTGGGGAACAATGGGATGTCTCTCTCTGTTGAAATGGTCACTTGGACTCAAACTATGACTTCTTCCCTATTTTTCCGCAGGAACGCACTTTGTCTTGAGTAGGGCTTGCTGGGAGGAAGTGATGGGGAGTGAACACGGTTTTCTTTTGCATGCGGCACGGTTCTCTCCCTTCTACCAGACACCTAGAGGGAGATGAGGCTGGGACCATGCCGAATTATCTTTGCCTTTGAGATGATACTGGGCTGTGTTTGAGAGAGTTACTTTCAGGGAAACAAATCCCAAGAAGGGGGCACAATATGACTTTGCAGTTCAGACACGGTTATCATTTTGGGATTTCAGAGAGCAGTTTACTAGAGAGAAAAATCCTCATTTCAGGCAGTTATAGCTTTTCACTACCACAGGTCCCTGCCGATGGTATCAAAAGAAAAATAAACAACAGGAAAAAATGGTTCCCTTTCTCCTGAGGTCTGTGTGGCCCCTCGTCTGCCTGTACTCGCCACACTGGGGTTGTGGAAAGTGGACTGAATTGATCTAAGCTTGTGGAACTAATCTGCACCCTAAACCGACAAAGGCACGGACCAAGGCATCAAACAGTGAAATAGTCGGGTGGTAAGGCTGTTTGAAGTCGGCAGACAGCGTGAGTTCAAGGTAGCCAGGAAGAGCTCCAGCTTCTTATCTGGGTGTCAAAACATTTTTAATTTTTTTGGTCAGTGATGATAAGCACTAAGGCTCTGTGTCTGTAAAAGCCACGTGGCTCAGTGCAGCATCTGGTTTGATTCTTTGCTTGTTTCTTTATGCTTTTAAATAAGTTGTAGTTCTCTTTTACCATCTTAGAGCATGTTTAACTTTTATGGCAGCAAAGCCCAGTGAGGATTCTGATTCTTAGTCCCTCCCTTCTGCCCGATCACCTCCTTCCTCGCTACTTCAAACTTTCTTGGTAAGGACCCAGCATTCGTTCACCCATCACTCATTCAGCAGATGCCAATCATCTGCTGTGAGCCAGGGCAGGGTTAGGCTGGGAGAAGGAAATAATCTGGATGAGATGTGTTTCCTGCCTTCAAGGATGTGTCATTCTGGGATAGGCAGACAGACGCACAGGACAAAGAAAAGAATTTCTTTTGTAAAAGAATTTATTTTTTGTTTGGAAATTTAATTGTCTTAATTTGTGAGCATCCAAATGATATTAAAAGTACATGATAAAGTAGACGTCATCTGAAATCCTGCCCATTCGGAGACAACCACCTTGGTGTATCAGTTATATATCCATATGACAAAACAGATGTAAACAAAATGGTGGGATGATGCCTGAGTCCTGAACAGATTTGTATTGGATATGGTAAGTGTAATGATGGATTAAAAACATAGGGCATTATGGGAGTCCAGAATTAGACTGGGGGTGGGACACTTTCAGAACCTGAAACCATTCTAGATCCTTTTTCTTCCCTCTTTCTGGACATCCCAGTTCTTTTTTCTTTTTTTGAGACAGGGTGTTACTCTGTCACCCTGTCTTGAGTCTTGGTGTCCTGGGCTCAGTCGACCCTCCTGCCTCAGCCTCCAGGGTAGCCGGGACTGTAAGCACATACCACTACATCCAGCTAATTAAAAGTTTTTTTCGTAGAGATGGAGTCTTGCTATGTTGCCCAGGCTGCATTCCCGTTCTATGGTTTCCAGCCTAGCTCTCCTGGTCCCCTCATTGCTGCTTCAATTGTCCCTGCTTAGAAAAATGGACTTGCCTCTTCCCACTCAAA